TCACTGGTTCCCTCCCTCAGAACTCCACAAGACATCTGAATATTTCTCCATGTGAGCTATTTTGCATCCCTCACTGATTACCATAATCAATGCTAGCCTTGGTTTATATGTCAAGGCAACATTATACACTGGCCTTGAAGATGAAGCTGTAATAAACTACCGTCACACCCCTTTCCTCCAATCCACCCTAGGGGTGGAGGGAGCTCGTACGGAGAGGCATGAGAATGGAAGATCAAGTCTGCTTTTGATATCAGGCAATTTTGTTGTAGCCAGGAATAGACACAGGTTCAGTCTTTGAAAATCTGGTATTTCCTTCTGGCCCTCAAGAAGGTGTTTTCCTACCTACATCAGTCAACCTATCAATAACTTAATTAGCATCTATTAAGCACCTACTGTGTGTCAGATACTATGCTAACCTCGGGGATGCAAATATAAAAGTAAACAGTCTGTCGTCTAAAGGAGCTTACTATGTTCTATCAGGGAGATGCAACATGTCCAGAGATAAATATAGATAAATACTTACAAAATAAATGCCACGTGAGTTCAGGACTTATGTTGTAGGGAGTTAAAAACTGTGGGAATCATGAAAGGTCACTTGAAGGAGATGGCACTGGAGCTGAGCTGCAGGAAGGGTAGTACTAGGGGTCCCAAGAGGCGAAGGTTGGGGAAAGAGAGTATTCCAGGCATGCAGGAAAGCCTGAGCAAAGACACAGATAGGAGATGGAAGGTCATGCATGGGAGTCTGTCTAGCTGATGAGTATAGTCCAAGAAGGGTATTGGTCAGCCTGGAAAAATGGGCCTGAGCCAGATTGAGATCTTCAAGTGCTGGAACAGAAGAATCTGTATTTCATCCTAGGGGCAATAGAGAGTCACTGAGTCTCCTGCCCCCTGTTCTTGGACAGGAGAATGATGTGGTCAAATCCATGCTTTGGTAATACCAAATTTGGTACTTGGTAGCTTTTTGGAAGATAAATTGGAGAGGAAAGGGACTGGATGCTAGAACACTGATTAAGTTATTGTGGTATTCAGCCAAGAGGCTGAACTTGGGTAGCCATGTGGTGTATTGAGAAAAGAAGTCAGATAAGAGAGATGTTGAGAAAGGAGAAGCAATCATGTCTAGCAAATTATTGGTCATGAGGTATGAAAGAGAGAGGGCTAGGGTTCTGATTGCTAATCTAAGTGACTGAAAGAACGATGGTGTCTTCAACAGAAATAAGAAAGTCTGGGGGGTCAGTTTAAGGGGAAAAGTGATAAATTCAGTTATGGTTGGGTTGAATTTTAGATCCCTATGGGACAGCCAAGGGGACATATTTAGCAGAAATTTGTAGCTGAGCATATGGAACTCAGGAGAGAGAAAAAGTCTGGAAATACAGATCTAAGAATCATTTATAGATGTTGTAGTTAAATCCATGAGAGCTGATGGCATCACAAAGAGTATGAAAATAAAAGAGAAATGGACCCAGAACAAAGGTCTAAGGCACATCCACAAAGAGGTGCCAGGACCCAGCTGAGGATCTTGACCAATCCTTAATTCAAAGGTCAGATAGGTAGGAGAAAATTATAGGCTCATAGACCTAGAATCAGAAGAAACCTCAGAATTCATCTAGTTGCACCCTTTAATTATGAGGATAAAATAAAATAATATTTGTAAAAGGTTTTGCAAACCTTAAAGCACTATATCAAGGCTATCTATCATCACCTTCACCATCATCATCATTGACAGAAGAGGAAAGTGAGGTTAAGTGGTTCAATCACAACACAGAAATCTCTTCCTGTCAGGGAGGAAGGAATATCCAGAAGTCAATAGTGTCAAATGTTCCAGAAAATCCAAAGATGAGAACTGAGAAAAGGTCATTGGGCTTTGGCTGTAAGGAGACCATTGGTTACTTTGAAGAGAATAGATTCAGCCAAGTGGTGAGGATGGATGCCAGATTATAAGGGCTTGAAAAGTGAGAGGTTGTTGAAAAAGTGGAGACAAGGAGGGTCAATAGCTTTTTTTCTGGGCATTTGGCTATTAAAGGAGGGAAGAAAGACCATGTTTTTATCCATTTGTCTAGCCATTCATTCATTTATTTTTAACATTCTTTTTTTAAAAATTGAGTTCCAAATTTCTCTCCCTCTTTCCCACATTTTCCCACCCATTGAGAAGGGATGAAATATATTAATTATACATGTAAAGTCATAAAAACATATTTACATATTAGACATGTTGAAAAAATAAAAACAAAACAAGAAAAATAAAGAAAGTGAAAAAAGTATGTTTCAATCTCACTCAGAGTTCATCAGTTCTCTCTCTGGAGGTGGAAAGCATTTTTTATCATGAGTCCTTTGTAGTCTTGGATCATTGTCTTGATCAGAATAGCCAAGTCTTTTAAAGTTGATTGGTGTTATAATATTGCCATTAACTATGTGCAATATTCTCCTGTTTCTGTTCACTTCACCTTGCATCAGTTCATATAAACCTTCCCAAGTTTTTTATGAAACCATCCTGCTCATCATTTCTTATAGCACATTTATATTCCATCACAACCATATACCATAACCTGTTCAGCCATTCCCCAATCGATGGGCTTCCCCTCAATTTCCAATTCTCTGTCACCAAAAATATAAAAATTGCTATAAATATTTTTGTACATATAGGTCCTTTTCTTTTTCCTCTGATCACTTTGGGATATAATCCTAGTAGTGGTTTTATTGCCCTTTAAGTATAATTCCAAATTGTTCTCCAGAATGGTTGGACCAGTTCACAATGCTACTAACAATGTATTAGTGACACTATTTTTCCTCATTCCCTGCAGCATTCATCATTTGAGGAATGATAATATTAATGGCTAGCATTGATATAATCACTTTAAGGTTTGCAAAACACGTCACAAATATTATCTCATTTTATCCTCACGACAACTCTGGGGGGTAGGTGCTATTATTTTCCTCATTTAACCAGAAAACTGAGGCATAATTTAAGTAACTTTCCCAGGGTCACACAGCCAATAAATATCTCAGGCAAGGTTCGAACTCAAGTCTTCCTGGCTCCAAACCCAGTACTCTTGCTACTGCCCAACCTTGACATTCCATGAATATATGACTAGGCTGTACTTTTGTCATAAAAATCAGTTATTACTCTGGATACTTTGAGCTCTAAGAAGGAGCAAATATGAATTCTGGGTATCACTGATCTTTAGAAAAAGATGTCAACTCTTCTCTATCTCTTCTTTTCCCCCCTTTAAGATCCCTGCCCCCAAGTGCATGGCCATTCCATATTTTTAAAAGTCCTATTTGGGGAAAGATTCTAACAGCTCTCCAGATGTCGAAATGCTCATTCCTCAGAGCATGATTTCTCCTTTCATGATGATTCAGTAGTTGGAGACACACCCTCCTTGACTGGAGAAAAGCCACAAGGTGTTAAAAGAGAAATTAGCATCTGTGAGAGGTTCTCTCCTCAAAGCAATCAGTGAAATTTAATATAATACTAATTATTGTGCAAGCATCTAGTGCTTTACAATTTACAAGATACTTTGACATTCATTATCTCATTTACTCCTGGTGATGCTATCTTAGACACCTAGGTTCACATCCTTGACTCATCTCTCCCTCTTATCTCCCCTATCTAGTTGCCAAGACTCATCATGTCTACCTCTACAACAGCTCTCCCATCTGTCCCCACTGCAGTCCATCTCAAACTCAATCATTTTATGATCCTTTCTCTTGATTCATAAGGCCATCAGTCTAATCCAGACCCAGATCGCCTCTTGTCTGGACGTCATAATAGTCATCTAAGTGGAGCAGTGGATACGTAGCTAGATTTGGAGTTGGGAAAACCTGAATTCAAATCTCTAGCTCAGATATTCACTAAATGTGTGACATTGGGCGAGTTGCTTAGCCTTTCTCAGCCTTAGTTTCCTCATCTGTTAAAAAATGTTTTGAGGATCAAATGAAATAATATATGTGATATGTTTCGCAAACCTTAGAGTGTTATATAACTATTAGTAATAATAATAATTATTATTATTATTGTTATTATATCTAGGATAGAATGTATCCCACTCTGTCATTTAAATTTCTACTAGTCTATCTTTCTAAACTGATTCCATATATTTCCTTTTTATACTCTTGAGTTCCAGCCAAACTGGACTTCTTGCTGCTTCTCATACACAATATCCAGTCGCTGACCTCTGCACCTTTTCACAGGCTATGCTTCCTGCCTAAGAATGTTCTTATTCTCTACATCAGCTTCTTGGAATCAATTCCTAGCTCTCTTCACAGTTCAAGAGTCATTTTCTGCAAGAGACATTTTTGGATCCCCACCCCCCCCCCCGGTTATTAATGTACTCTTCCTCTAGGAAATTACTCTATATAAATTTACTTATGCTGTATATGTGTTGTTACCCTCCAATAGAATGTAAGCTTCTTGAAGGCAGGGTCTATTTACTTTTTAAACTTTGACTTTCCAGTATCTAGCACTGTATTTTGCATATAATAGGTTAATAAGTGTTTATTGATTTGAACTGAATTTATCCTTGTGAAGTAGTCTGGACTGGAATCATAATCACCATTTTACTACTTAGAAAATGAGTTAAGTGACTTGCCCAACATCATTTGGCTAGTAAGTGATGGAGTTCAGGTCTATTGATAGTGTAGCATAGGATAATGTGATTAGAACAGAAAAGGAAGATTTGAATACTAAAAGAATTGAACTTAGGGATAAATGTGGGTACTAGAATATGTTTTAAAATTTGGTATAATTTCTCTCATTTGGTATTCTCTGTATGTTAGAAATAGTAATAATAGTTTACCCTTACATAGCCCTTAAAGGTTTGCAAAGGACTTTACATATGTCATCTCATTTGATCCTAACTACAGCCCTTTGAACCAGATGTTCTTGTTATTATCTCCATTTTGCAGAGGAGGAAACTGGGGTTTAAGGTTAAGTGACCTGCCCAGGGTCACACAGCTAATAAACATCTAAGGCAAGATTTGAACTTTGGCCTTCCTTATTCCAGGCTCCACGTTCTAGTGATTGCACCGCCTAGCAGGTTAAGCTGAGATAAGGAACCCAGGATGCAGAGTTTAAATGACTCATTTCAAGTTACATGCTGGTAGAGGTAAGTCTAGAACCTGGCTCTCCTGCTTCCAGTATCACTGTTCTTCCATGTTCCAATGTACACCAGCCTGCCCCACTACCTACCGCAAATGCCAATGCCTAGAATGATTCCTCCCGTGTTACAGATGTGTACTTAATTTTTTTAAAATTGTCAAAATTCTATTTTGAGGTAAAATGTGACATCAAAGGACCCTCTGGCAACTATTAGGGAAGGTGATTCTTTGCAATTAATTTTCTTTGGGGGAAAAATGCTCCTTTAGCAATTCCAAATTTCTATTTCATCTTTCCCCCCCTTCTAGCACATTCATTTCCCTTGTCATTTCATGCTTCTTCAGCTGAGCTGACCATATGTCTATATTTTCAGGGACATTCCTGATTTTTAAAAAAAGAAAAAGAAAAAAAATTATTCCCCCTTCTTCCCCTCTCCCCTATTCTCTCCCTGCCCCCTCCCCCCCAGGTTGTATAGTAGATACCGCACTGCACAGAGAGATAGGAAGACTTGAATTCAAATATTTCCTCGGTCCTTACTAGCTGTATGATCCTGGGCAAGTCACTTAACTTTTCTCAGCCTCAGTTTCCTCCTCCATAAAATGAGGAAGTAATAATTGTCCCTAGATCAAATGAGATGACACATGTAAATATGCTCTAAAAAATGCTGGCTATTATCACCAAAGCTTTGCAAAATCAACATCCTGATTTCCTGCTTAGAAACCTTCTCTCTGGCCTTCTCTGCCTGCCGTCTCCTGTTTAGGCACTTGGCCTTCCTCTTTGTTATGTCCTGTTTTCCCTACCTTCTGCACGGAGAGGCAGAGCAGTCTGGGACGCAGGTGGCCCCTCTGGACTGAATCACCCAAATGCATACATTTGCAGTTACAGTGTCCCACTTTACAACTGAAAAGTCATTCTTATGCAGTGGAGTTTCATAGTTTGCCTTTTCCTTAAAAAAAAAGTCCTGAAAAGTATCTAGCAAACAATGGAAGAATCATTCTGAGTGTTCTGTAGTAGAGAGAAAAATGCAGTAGACTCCAAGTCAGCCTTGGGTTTGAGGCCTGGCCTCAGGACTTCCTAGGGGTGTGACTGTGGGTAAGACCCCTGGACCTCTTAGCTTCAATTTCCTCTACAAAGAAGGAATGGGTACACTTCACTACCTACCTCACTTTGTTGTGAGCAAAAAGTGCTTGGTAAATCGGAGAGTGCCACAGAGGCGTTGCTGTTACCTCCTATAACAGGTGCCTCCCTGTTGCCCCAAGGATACATTAGGAACTCCACTGTTTGGCATTAGAAACCCTTTGTAGTTGGGCTCCAATTCATTCTTCCCAATTTATTTCTCAGTCCTTTGCAAACCTTTAAGGGCTATGTAAGGGTAAGTGAGGGGAGAGACTGACTGAATATAGGGAGCAATTAGAAGACTATTTTAATGGTCCAAGAAAAAGAGGGTTTGGAAGAGGCCTGGAGACAGAGCTGTTGGAGAGATAGAAGCAACAAGACTTGTGACCAACTGGACATATTGGGGGGCAGGGAGGGAGTAGAATATGACACCAAGGTTGCAAAGCCAGGTCTTGGAAGAATGGTGGTGACCGCAACAGAAAGAGGGGAGGTGGGAGGTGGGGATATGCCTGTACCTACAGGGAGAAAGATGAAGTGTTCAGTTTTTGACATGTTGGGCTGTGTTTCATGATGGCTGTGGGACATCTCACTGAAGATGTTCAGCAGACAGCTAGACATGCAGAACTAGAGCTTCAGAGAGATGTGAGGGCTGATGGTGTATATTTGGAAGTCATCTCCATAGAGATGCTAGTCAAATCCACCATAGGTGGTGAGATCTCCAAGGGAGTGTAGAGAGAGAAGAGGAGAGGGTCTAGAACAGAAGCTGATGTACACTCATTCATGAGGGATGGAACAAAGCATCATGTGAAAGGAAGTAGAAGGCACCTCAGAGGTCAACCCTCCTTTTACAGATGAAGAAACTGAGGCCCAGGGTGGTTAAGTGATGAGCACATCCTGATGCTGTTGACCTCTGAGGTGCCTTCTACTTCCTTTCACATGATGCTCTGTTCCATCCCATCTGGACCATTAAAATAGTCTTCTAATTGCTCCCTATATTCAGTCAGTCTCTCCCCTCACTAATCTATGCTACACAGTACTGCCAAAAAGATATCCCTAAAGCACAGGTCAGGGGCAGCTTGGGGGCTCAGTGGATAGAGCACTGTGCCTATAGGCAGGAAGATATGAGTTCCAATCCAACCTCAGACACTAACTAGTTGTGTGATCCTGGGCAAATCAGTTAATCTCTATTTGCCTTAATCTACTGGAGAAGGAAATGGCAAACCATTCTAGTATCTTTGCCAAGAAAACCCGATTGATAGTATTAGTGTGCTATGTCCACACTATGTCCATAGTGTGCTGTGACAATGAGTCAGACACAATCGAACAACAACAATGACCACAAAGCACAGATCTAACAATGCCCTTCCCTTGCTCAAGAATCTTCAACAGCTTTCCATTGCCTGTAGGATAACATACCTATGTCTCTATTTGTCATTTAAAGTCATCCACAGTGTGACTCTAGCCTCTTTCCTGGTTGATCCCATACTACTCCCTCTCCTGTGATTTTAGACTCTAGTTAATCAGTCCTACTCACTATTCTCTACACACACCACCCTCTCTGACCTCCATGTGCTTGCACAAAGCTGTCCTTGGCTTAGGATGCTTTCCCTGCTCACTCTCTAGCTTGAAACCCCTAGATCCCTTGAAGACTCAGCTCCAGTGATGTTTGAATGAGGCTTTCCCTGATTCCTGCCCTAACATCACTTTGCATTTCTTCTGTATACATCCTGTGTTTCCTTACCTGTGACCATGACATGTCTCTCCCTCCCCCTCCCACTAGAATGGAAGCTGCCTGAGGACAAGAACCACCTCGATTTTAAGGCCCAGCACAGTGTCGGTTCTTAACAAATGCTTGTGGATTGCCTCTTGAAATCCTACCCATCCTCCCTGGTTTTGCTCAAATGTCACCTCTTCCAGGAAGTCTTCTCTAATCAAAGGAGTCTTAGGCATCCTTCCCTCATTCCTCCTTTCTACCCCACTCCCGTAAGACTTTGTTTGGACCTCTTTCTTGAGATATTGTCATTTTATAATTATTTGCATACAGGTCTATGGTTAAATTTAGTTCAACAAACATTGATTAAGCACCTTCTGTGTGCAGAGCATTGCTAAGTAATGGGGAAAATGAAAAGCTAGGATAAGACACTGTGTTTCTTGCCCAGCTGGAGCTTTCATTAGAGTAGGGAGATAAGATCCATTTATAGGTCACTTGATGTCTTCTCCAATACAGACCAGATCTCAGCTTCTTTTGCATAACCCATATTGCCTAGCACAGTGTCCGGCACTCAAAAAATGTCTTCCCTTTACCTCTGCCTCAGTTTCCTTGGCTTTCTTCAAGATTCAGCTCCACTCTCTCCTTTTGCAAGAGATCTTTCCTACCCTCTCTACATCCCACTTTTTCCTACCCCCCACTAACTTCTAATGCCTTTCCTTTTCAGATTACTTGATCTACTCTGCATATTTCTTCTACTTATTCAGAAATTTTCATGTTGTCTCTCCACTGGAAGGTGAACTTCTTGAGAACCAAGACTGACAGATTTTTCTGTTGTTATTGTTTGCTTAGTGTATGGTTTTTTTTTCTGGCCTTTCCTTATATTGCCAGTACAGAGCCCAGCATTTAGCACACAGTATTTGCTGTTGTTCAATTGTTTCAGTTGTGTACAATTCTTTGTGGCCTCATTTGGGGATTTCTTGGCAGAGATCCTGGAGTGGTTTGCCATTTCCTTCTCTGGCTCATTTTATAGATGAGCAATTGAGGCAAACAGGGTCAAAGGACTTGCCCAGAGGCACATAGCTAGTAAATATCTGAGGTGGAAATTGAACTCAGGAAGATGAGTCTTCCTGATTCCAAACAGTGCTTTTTGGATGATCAACTTTTGTCCAAATAATTTGATAGACCCTACACAAACATACAAGGAAATGATATCATTTTATTATTGCTTACATCGGATCTCCAGTTACAATTCCTTGTTAGGCTTCTGTTGAAAGGGATATTGATTTTGGATCTGCAAGGAGGGAGCATTCATCCATCTTTATAGTCTCTCTCTCTCTCTCTCTCTCTCTCTCTCTCTCTCTCGACAGCATGCTGTGGTAGAAAGATACTGGATTTAGCATCAAAGGATGTGGGGTTGGGATTCCAGCCCTGTTGCTTGTGAGATTCTGAGGAAGCCAATTAATTGAGCTGAGCCTCAGTCTCATTATCTGTGAAATTTCTTCCCATTTCTAAATCCAAAGATCTTTAAATATCAATTTCTCAAGTACAAGAAGATGGGGGAGGCATAGTTAACCAACAATTTGAAAAAGATCTGCAGGTTTGAGTGATCTGCTGGCTCAGTCTGAGCCAGGAGTGTGGTTCAGCAGTCACAAGAGCTAAGCAGGGCAGCCTTGAGAGAGGCAACATGTGTAGGTATGAGAAGGTCATCATTCCTCTGTGCCTCGGCCTAGTAAGACTCCACTCACAGTATTGTAATTAGTTCTAGGTGCCAAAAAGAAGGACATTGATAAGCTGGAGAGGATGACAATCAGGAGTGATGAAGGGCATCCAAGTTAGCTAATTCTTTGAAGGAACTAGGGATGGTTAGACTGGAGAAAAGAGCATGCCTGGTAACTTTAAGGAGGTGAAGAGCTGCTTGATGTGTTTGGCCCCCAAAATTGAGAGCAAAGGGGAGGAGCTGCAACAAGACTCCTTTGGGCTTCATGTCATGAAAAACTCCCTAGTGATCTGAGCTTCCCCAAAGTGGAATGGACAACATCAGGACGGAGTGAGGTCCCTTTCAGTGAAGATCTCCAGACAGAGACGGGATGACCACTTCTCAGTTATGTGATTGTGAGGGTTCTTCTTGGGATGCGGATTGGTGTAGATGGTCATAGTGATGGTCTGTTTCAACTCTAAAAGTCTGTGATTCTAGGAACTTCCAAGGGGACGTTGCCTTTTGTTTAAGCCTTCCTTTGCCCTATGTCTACCGCTTAAAAAAAAAAAGCAAAAGAAAAGCTCAGGGGCAGTTAGGTGGCGAAGCAGATAGAGCACTAGGTTGGGAATCAAGAAGCCACATTTGAGTTCAAATCTGGCCTCATGCAGTTACAAGTGTGTGACCCTGGGCAAGTCACTTAGCCTCATTTGCCTCAGTTTATAAAATGAGCTAGAGAAATGGCAAACCATTCCAGTATCTTTGCCAAAACAAAAACAAAACAAAAAAATGGGGTCACAAAGAGTCTGATACAGCTCAACAACAACAACCACAACAAGAACAAAGCTTTGGGCTCTGGGGTTGAGTTAGAAGCCATGGGAAGTCCAGCTGTGGTAGGACACCTTTCACAGCCAGTTAAAAGGTGAGGTTCTCCCACTCTTCAGAAGCCATGGGGATAAGTGGCAGGCATCAGCCTGAGATCCTTGGGGACTTAGCAGGATGTCGTTTTTTTCTGAGAAGTTGACACATGTCAACCTGATAATGACTCTTTTTTGTTGTTGTTTCCACTCCAGCTGCGATTATGCAGAGGAAGCTCAGTGAAAGAGCTGAGCTCTGAAGCTACAGTCATACCCACACACCAGGCCCAAGCCCTGGATTTGTTCCCCCTGTGGGTTCAGGTGAGCACTTGACTGTCTGAGAGCTGATTTCAGCCCCATTTTGCTAAGCCGGCACCATTTTGATTGCATCAGGTATCTAGGATGCATGCAGATTGCGAGGATTTCTCAACAGATTTCCAGTGGAAGGCATCCTGCATGGGAAAAATACTTTGTACCTTCCAGGGAAACTGAGGAAGCATTCTTCTGCTCCAAGGAAATAAGTGGTGATTAGTTTTATTTTTTTCCCTCAGTGTATTTTGTGTCTTTGGATTAGCAAGGCACAGCTTCCACACAGTGCAGTCTGTTCACGTGCCTGTGATGACAGATAACTGGGAAAATTTTCTGCTTTTCTATTCCTATCTGACCCCATTCTGCAACAGTTCAGATTGCTGCATAGGCTTGTAGGCAAGGTCTGGGTTTTTGACCCATTTCCATTTGTTATCTCTTCTCCAAGCAAGCTCTTAGAGTGCCCTAAAGGCAGAGCTCCCAGTGCCCTTGAAATTGAAGGGAGTACAATCTAGCCTTAGTACCTTTTTAATGTAGCCTTTTTTGTACCTTTCTCCTCATTCCTAGAACACCCTCCCACTCTACTTCTCTACCTTCATCTGATTATTGTCTTACTTTCAGCTAGCTGTCAATCCTCAACTCTGGTGAGTATTATCCCTTCCAAAGAGGGGAGAGGGATTCCACCTCTGGAAAGAACGGCATTCAGCAGATATCAGCCAGTAAAATGAATTGAAAAGTCCCCCAAACTCAAAAAAATTAATCTCTAATGATGAAATTGCAGGCCCAGAGGACAGTAGCCCTTAAATTGCATTACATAGAATAAGGTTATCTCTTCTGCCTACAAACGTGGCCAGCCCTGCAGTGGGCATGTGAGTGGCGGGTGAGGAATCACAGGTTGTTCAATAGTTATAACACTCTGCTTCAGCGCTCACTCAGGGGTGTGTCTGTGGCAGCTGCCCAACTCATGCCTCTTCGTAAGAGGCTAGCTTCTCCCAAACTTCACTGATCTGCTTTTAAATTATATTGAGGTTTTCTGAAAGCCCCCCAAAAAGCACCTTCTTACTCTATCTGTTTATATTCAAAGACTCATAAATACTAGTGCTGGAAGAGACCTTAGAACATAAAGTGTTCGAGCTTGGTGGGACCTCAGAGTGATGTCTGAACTAGAAAGGACCTTAGGATGTCAGAACATAGGATGTCAGACCTAGATAAGGACATTAGAACATCAATGTTAGAGTTAAAAAAGACCTTTGGCACCTTGTAGCCCAACAATGTTATTTTATAAAGGAGGAAACAGATCTAGATGGATTTAAAGAGCCCTGGATTTGGAATTGGAAGATATGGGTTTGAATATTGCTTTTGCTACTTAAAATATGCTATAACCAACCAACCAACCTATTATATGGACAGCTAGAAGGCACAGTTAGAGTGCAGGGCCTGGAGTCAGGGAGACTCATCTTCCTGAGTTCAAATCTGACCTCAGACACTTCCTACCTGTGTGACCCCGGGTAAGTCATTTAACCCTGTTTGCCTCAGTTTCCTTATCTGTGAAATGAGCTGGAAAAGGAAATGGCAAACTACTCCAGTACCTCTGCCAAGAAAGTCCAAAATAAGGTTATGAAGAGGCAGACATGACTGAAACAACTGAACAACAAGATTCCTTTCAGCTATAAATCCTATGATCACTTGAAGTGACTTTCCCATATTCCCATAGAATTGATGGCAGGTCTAGGCCTCATAATCACAAATTTTATGCTCTCATACAACCCTCCACAATTCTCCTACTGAGTTCAAATACGGCCACTATTTTCTTGACCTCTATGGCTTACACCTTATTCGAATCTTTTCCTTCTCAGCTGATTTCATAAGAATGCTAATCGTCACCTAACACCAACAGACGTCCTCTCTGGAACCGGCTCACTTGAAGACCCTGTGATGCATTTCTGCAAGGCTTTCTTTTATTCCTGGTCTCCACCAACCCTGCCCTGGATAGCCAGATCCAAGGGAAGCAGTGAGACAGAAAGGCAGCAAAAACTAGAATTAAACCAGCCAGGATGCTTAAGAGATCCAAAGATGACTCATTCTTTTTTTTTTTTTAAGATTCTTTTCTTAATTTTCACATTTCCAAGCTGGAACAGGCTGGTATTTAGACTTGCCAATAGTACAGTCAGCTAAAGGGAGAATGAAGTTTTAGTCTGGAGTGGGTCCAACTTTGGCCTGTAGGACCCTTTAAGCACTTGAGTCTCTGCTCCCACTTTTTTCTTTGCCTCTGAATAGAGACAAAAACAAACAAACAAATAAGTCTGTGACAGAGCCTGGTGGCAATGGATGGCTCCCAGAAAGTGTTAGCAGTAACTCTAAGGAGCCAGCTCATCTCAAAGCCCAACATGCTTCACCACAGAAATAGGTTTTGGGCAGCAGAGAAGGTAAACTGCTCCAAGGAAGCAAATGTCATTTTATTTCATAACTTCTTTTTTTTTTTTTTATCAGCACAATCTGAAAGTGGCTGCTATCTCCAAAGAAGGCTTTCTAGGCCTCATCTGGCAAATGCCTCAATGGTTAGTACAGAAGTTGAGTTTAATAGAGAGGTATTTTTTTTTTATTAAGCAGCCTGCCTCTTTCTCCTCCTTTTGCCCATCTCTGATATAGGTTTTTTTTTTCTCCAAGAAAGGTGCATGAGTGAGACTGTCATTGTAAAAATCTCATCTGCCTTGCTTTATGGTGACATTCAACATTAAATCCCTTCCCCATTGTTTGACACTGGAGGAGGATTGAGAGGAGGCAGGGTGCAGGATTGTGAAATTTCCAGCAGATGAGAGAATTAATGCTTCACCAAGATACTTTAAAGTATTCAGCAAGATCCCATTCCCCTAATGCCTCCCTGCCTTTGGAGCTTCCCCACCCATGGAGTTTTCTCAGGTCAGGCTTCAAGATATCCTAGCAGATGAAAGTGGGGGCACATTTCAGTTTCAAGTTGGGGTTCATTCTTCTCTGTTGACTGGCTAGGAACAGCGAATTCTTACCAAATACCACCCTGCTACCCTCCCTCCCCTCCTCAGAACAGCTTCTCAATCCAGCAACAGCTAGATCCTTCAGAGAAGAACACATTCTTCAGAGAAGTGTTGACTGTATTCTGTTTTTCTGAGGATGTCAAGGAAACCATCACAGGTCAAAAGGGATGGGGCTGAAGGAGGTATAAGGAATATCAGGGCAGAACAGGTCATTTTACTCAACTTCCTCCTTTTATTTTTATTTTATTTTGGTGAGGCAATCGGGGTTAAGTGACTTGCCCAGGGTCATACAGCTAGTAAGTGTCAAGTATCTGAGGCCAGATTTAAACTCAGGTCCTCCTAACTCCAAGGTCAGAGCTCTATCCTCTATGCCACCTAGCTGCCCCTACAACTTCCTCCTTTTACCAGTGAGAAAACTGAGTGTCAGAGAGGAGAAGTAGAGGTAGTTCTTTTGTCTATACTACTGCACCACCGAGGCAGAGGTGACATGATCACTTGTAGGGCTTTTAGTGAAAGGCCTCATCCCTTAGTCAAATGGCTTGAATCAGATCACTGGTTACAGTCAATACACCGTTAAAACAAATAAGCTTTATTCACATTAACGCATGAGTGTGTGTGTGTGTGTGTGTGTGTGTGTGTGTGTGTGTGTGTGTGTGTAGTCATTCAATCCTCAAAACATCCCTGTAAGGTAAGACCTATTATCTCCATTTTACAGATGAGAAAATTAAGGCAGAGAGAGGTTAAGTATTTTGCCCAGGGTCACCAGCTTCCTCATCTGTAAAATGAGCGGGAGAAGGAAATGGCGGACAACTCCAGTATCTTTGCCATGAAAACCCTAGACCGTGTTACGCGGCACAGTTGAAATGGCTGAACAACAACCCAGCTGGTGAGTGTTTGAGACAGGTCTCCCAGATGGTTCCAATGACAGACTGGGACACAGTATCGCGTGGCCCTTACCACAACTTGATGAAGCAGGCACTGCCGGCATCATCGTTCCCATTCTACTGGTGAGGGAACGCAACCGCACCACACAATTCTCCTTGCCATCTAGACTTACGTGCAGTGAGTAGCTCTCCTGGCTAAGTGCTAGGGCAAGCTGCCTATTTGTCACACCAGACTACTATCCTGAAGGCTCAGTTTCTGTGGGCACCGTTATTCAGGGTAGGCATCCTGTCGTTTCTAGACATATCTTGATACAACATGTTCAGCGGTTCTAATCAGCAGTTAGTTATGCACCTGCCCTAAACTAAGGCTTTGTTGTTCAGTTGTGTCCGTTCTTTGTGACCCCATTTGGGGTTTTCTTGGCAAAGACACGGAGTGGTTTGCCATTTCCTTCTCCAGCTCATTTTACAGAGGAGGAAACTGAGGCAACAGGATTAAATGAGTTGCCCAGGGTTACAGAGCTGGAAGTCTTCCTGATTCCAAGTCCAGTGTTCTACCCCCCCCCCATCTAGCTGCCCTTGTGCAAACAAAAGCAAAAAGGACTCTACAAACAAGCAGAAGTCCAGTTAACTAATTAGATGCACCTACATTATTTATTCTTGTTACTGACCTCCAGATAGGGCCTTAAACGTTCCTGGCTCATAGTAGGCTTTCTGTTCCTCCTAGGGGCTGGAATAAATAATGCTTAACTGAACACAGAATTGGACACAAAGATACAAAATGAAAACTATTTATCTTCTAAGATCTCCCTATTTTCTTTTACCTTCATAGAATCACAGGTTTTGAGCTAGAAGTGACCTTTAAGGCCCTATTCCTCCCCCTACATTTTACAGATGATGAAATGAGGCCTGGAGGGGTGTGAACTGTCCAGTCATACAGGTAGCAAGTGGCTGAGCCGGGACTGAAACCCACACCCTCTGACATAAGCCACCACTCTTTCCCCTGTACCACAGAGTCTCAGAGCTAAAATGCACCCCAGAGGCCATCTAGCCCAACCCATACCTACACAGCAATCTCCCCTACAACATACTGACAGGTGGTCATTCACTTTTCGCCTAAGGACCTTTAATGAGGGGGAAATCCTTACTTCCGAAGGCAGCCCATTTCAATTTGAAGTAGCCGTAATTGGTAGGAAGATTTTTTTTCATCAAACCAAAATTTTCTTCTTTGCCTCTTCTCTCCATTGTTCGTAATTCTGCCCTCCAGGGCCAAGTAGAGGAAATCTAATCCCACTTATAAACCATAGCTCCTCAAATACTTCAAGAGAGCTATCCATGATTCTGAGGGAGGACCCAGTGCCAATGGAATCATGGATCCTGGATTTTTGAAGTATGCATATAATTATGCCTATCATTGGTCAGATAAGCCAGGGAGACATATCTTCCATAATCCATTTTCCATGTACCAATTATGCTTATTCCCCAATACCTAGCCTACTTAGCCATAGAGGTGAGCATGCATCTTCTAACACCTAGTTACAGTTCTACCTCTTTCATGTACTCTCCCCTGATCCTTGCAGTTGATAATAATAGTTTCCCCATAGGCTTTCATGTGGCATTTTATTGTAAAATTCTGATGCATCAATCACATTTAAGGCCTATGAGCACCCTGCCTCCAGTTTACGGGTTGGATACTGTGGGAGATACCCTGGCTTTAAACTCTGAGCATTTGCATCCCCTAAAACTACAGTCTGTGAATGCTCAACAATATTTTTGCCTTTATAATGGAACTGAGGATACAGTTAGTTCCAAACAAAGCCACTGAAATGGCACCATAAGAGAAGTCATAATGACACACTTGTCCCATAAAGCAAGGGCACCCTCTGTCACAAATACACATGGTATAGTGGGAAGAACAGAGAGATACTCTTGAGGTACATCCCTAGGAAAGGCTTGTGGCCAGGACATAGATACAGAGCAGCAACTCAGACTTCTGACATGTCAGGGCCTCTGAAATCTTTTACTGAAGTCACTATGCAAGGGCCAATGGTTCCTTAGTTCCAGCTGGGTGGACCTGTCCTTTTTTATAATCTCTGCAGGATCCTGCACCATTGGGCATATAGTCTGCGTGGGATCTACCTTAGCTAAAAAGCTTGGGTATCTCTTCCTGAGAGAAGAGCATATATTACCATGCTCTCCTATTTTAAAGCCTAGAGGTAATTTTTTTCAACTCTTAAAAAAGGCATAAATCCCCTTGCCTGGACCCACCTTCTTGTTTCATAGTTTTAACTGCTACCAAGACCTATCTTCTTCCCAGCAGGTCTTTAGAACCAAGAGTAGGGTCTACCTACCTAGCTAGTCCCCAGCAGGGCAAATGGGAAGGGAGTTGACAATGGCAGCCATGGAAAAACAGACTACAAAAGGGGACTGCATAGAGGGGTGCCCCCTCTCTCTCTGATTTCCCCTACACACACACACACACACACACACACACACACACACACACACACACACACACACTGTCCCCAGCTCCAGTGGTTCAAGCATGCACTCTAATGTGTGAGCACGCTAGTCCAAGGCCCCGGAGACACTCAAGGCTCAAACTTATACATCATTCTTAGACAAAGTGCTGATGTGGCACTAATACGAGTCTGCCTGGTTACTAGTGAGGCAAAGAGGCAGGGCTGTCTGGACCACTCAAAAGAGGGTATTCTCCAAATTACCTAATAAGGGATGAGGAATGAGGGGCAGGGCCCAGGAAACTTAACTCTAACTGTGCCGGAGCAAACAATCACGCAAGGACGAGGTGCAATACCAGGTCTCCAGGTCAGTTAAGTCTTAGTGTACATGCCTCTCAGGGGCTGTGGCCACACCAGTCAAACTGGTTTGAGCCGGCTCGCATGACTTTACACTTTGTCTTTCTTTTTGGACGTGTCTTCTTCCACCTGGACTTGGGGCCCCTCAGAGATCTCACAGTAGTTTGTGCTGATTATTCCTTATGGGTCCTATCTCTGAAGGCTCAGTATCAGCCAGGCAATGATTATTTATTTGCCCTGTAACTGCCTTACACCGCTGGGGATTCAGGGCTCCCCAGTTTTTCAGATGAGTGGAAAACAGAGGAGGCAAAGGCCCAGGGCCAAAGCCATGGTCCCTTCTGCAAGCCCAGTCTAGAGTCTAGCCTTTTTACACACAGATAAAGGCAGCCCGAGGCTCAGAGATGCTCTGAGGAGCTCCCTGTTGAGTAATATTTTATGTTCTAGTTAACTGTGTTGATGTCTTATACTTCTACTGGTCTCAAAGCTTCTAGAAGCCAAGGGGAACGTTTAGGCTTTATATCTCCTCTTGAGCCTAGCACAGCACTTTCTACAAATCCTAGGTTCTTAATACTTATTGAATGAAAGGATAAATGAATAAATGTGATGTATCACATGCCTCATCAGCCACTAATAGATGCTCTTGGCTAAAGAGTAACAGGTCTGGAATCAGGAAAACTCATCTTCCTGAGTTCAAATCTGGCCTCAGATACTTCTTAGCCATGTGACCCTGGACAAGTCACTTAACTGTGTTTGCCTCAGTTTCCTCATCTGTAAAATGAGCTGGAGAAGGAAATGGCAAACCACTCCAGCATCTTTGCCAAGAAAACCTCAAATGGGATCACCAAGTCAGACACGACTGAAAACAATTGAACAACAAAAAAAGAGCAAATGTTCCTTGATGCCTATAGCAAGGAAGAACAATTAGCAAATTGATTACTTAACTATATAAACTATATAGTTTATCCTTCATTCTCAAGACTAACTTTTCACTTAATGAAAGGTTCCTGCTTTGATGAGAAATGGGTTTTTTTTTTAATTTTTAGGCAATTGGGGTTAAGTGACATGCCCAGGGTCACACAGCTAGTATCAAGTGTTTGGTCTCAGATCAAATTTGAACTCAGGTCCTCCTGACTTCAGGCTGGTGCTCTATCCACCACACCACCTAGCTGTCCCATTTGATGAGAAATGTTAGTTATGCCAGGTAAGGGTTTAATGACCTTGGTATTAAGGAAGGAAAAGCAAATTTTGTGAAATTCAAACAGACTTGTGAAATACAAATATACTTTTATGTACTTGATGGTCTGAGTCAAGGCAAAAACTCAAGTTTTTGCTTAGAGAATAGAAATACAAACAAACTTTTAAAATTACTTTTGCTAATTAATATACCAGCTATTTCTTTGAGCATCTGCTATGTGCAAACCATTAATCTGGGAGTGAGGGGGAGCAGAAGGAGAGGAAAAGAAAGGTATAAAATAAAGTATAAGAACTGTTTATTGCTTAAGGAGATTGAAAAAAGAAAACAAATAAGCAATGGAAAAGTAAAATAACAATAGGACATTTAAAAAAATTATTGTTGAGTCCTTCTAGTAATTCCAACACTGTGACCCCATTTGGGGTTTTCTTGGCAGAGATACTGGACTGGTTTGCCATTTCCTTCTCCAGCTCATTTTACAGATGAGGAAACTGAGACAAACAGGGTTAAGTGACTTGCCCAGGGTCACAAGACTAGAAAGTGTCTGACATCAGATTTGCACCGAGGGAAAGGAAGCTTCCTGACTCCAGGCCCAGAGCTCTGTGCACTCTGGCGCCACCTAGCGGCCCTTTTGAAAAATACACTGCAACAAATGTTACCGCAGCATATCCAGATATAGTGGAAGGTCTGTTGGATTTAGAGTCAGATAGATGCCTTAGGTTCAAATTGTGGTTCTGCTACTCACTAGATGTGGGACCTTAGAAGAGTCACTCAGCTTTCATTGTCCTTGGTTTTCTCACCTTTAAAATGAAGCTATTGGAAATACGGCCTCTAAGGTCCCTTCAATCTCTAAATCTATGATCTATGGTCATCTACGATTGGCCGGTGAATAGAAATCCAGGTAGGTGGTGCGGTGGATAGCTAGAATATGGAACTTGGAGTCAGGAAGATCTGAATTTGAATCCTACCTCAGGCACTGACTGTGTGACCCTGGATCACTGAACCTCTCTGTGCCTCAGTTTCCTCATCTGTAAAAATGGGAATAATTATAGCACCTACCTCACAGGGTTGCTGTGAGGACCGAATGAGTTAACATATGTAAAGTACTTTGCAAACCTTAAGATGATACATAAATGTTAGCTATTCTAGAACAGTCCTCATTCTTCATGGCTACTGACAAATGTCTAATTATCTCTCATACACAAGGCAAGGAGGCTCATCATTAGGAGCTCTATTTTAAATTCTCCCTTCTCCTGGGGTTTTGCTCATTTTCTCTCACCTTCCAGGTGGTCCTAAACATCGATCATGGACTAGACCAACAGCAGTCAACACTACCAAAAAAAAAACCCACCAAAAAACACCTTCGAGTTGGCTTCATAGCCACAGCTGTTGCTATTCATGTTAATGAATAAGACAAGAGACTATTACAGGAGATTTCAGTCTTCTTGACTCTAAAAGCTGATGTTCTGTCTGCATGCCCATGAAAATGCATGAGTCCCAACTTGGCATGATCAAGTACATTGATAAACTGAACTTGGGGAGCTGATCTGCTTAAGTCATCCTGAGTCGCTTGCAGCCTTTGGCTCATCAAAGGTGAAGGTTACCCCAGAGGGCGCTCGGGGGCCCAAGGCAGCTTGGGAAGGAACTGGAACCCCACCTCTGGGCACTTTTTCCAAAGAAGGAGATGGAATAGTAGAAGATCCCAGACCTTTAGAGTTTGCAGGGACCTTAGAAGTCATTGATTCCAACTTACTTGTTTTACAGGAAAGGAAAGGGAAGACAGGAAAGGGAAAGATCCCTGTGCCAAGCTCCTGTGGTAAGTCAATGTCAGAGTTAGGAATAAACCCAAGGGTCCTGATTCTAGTGCCTAAATTCCCTCCACTGTACCACATGGTCTCAATAAAACAACAGCCATTGATTAAATGCTTATTAAATATCAGGCATGGTACTAAGTGTCCAGACACAAAAGCAGCCAACCTGAATTCATAATAAGGGCATATAATATTAATAGGTAGCTTAACATCAATTGAGGGCAGCTAGGCAGTGCAATGGATAGAGCACCGGGCCTGAAGTCAGAAAAACTCATTTTCCTGAGTTCAAATCCAACCTCAGACACTTACTATGTGACCCTGGGCAAGTCATTTAACCCTGATTGCCTCAGTTTCCTCATCTGTTAAATGAGCCAGACGAGGAAATGGAAAACCACTATAGTATCTTTGCCAAAACACCAAATGGGGTCATGAAAAAAAATGGTATCAACCACTCAACAAACCTTCATTAAACTCCTAATATATGCCAGCTGCTGGAGATACAAAGACACAAAATGAAATTATCTCTGTTCTCAAGATGCCTACAATCTTTTGGGGGAGATATGCAGGAGTATACATGTATTAAAATATATGTGAAATAAATATCAGGTAGTTGGAGGAGAATACTAACAATTATGAGAATATTGCTCTTTGCTATTAGCAGGCTCCTATTAACTTAGATATGATAAATCCACACATATGTTGTAGCTCCTTCCATCATGTCTCACTGGGCTGCCATTCAAAACTAATTTCTCTTGAAAGAAGCAGGAAAGAAGAGCGTCTTCCTTTTTTAAGTTTGCAGAAAGTTATATATTTTTAAAAATAAATCTATTTATTTTTACATGGATTTATAATCTCTTTTACTCTCACTCCCAGTTCAAACCAAACCAAGCCAAAACAAAAACCAAAACCCTCAGCAGAAACATGTATAGTCTAATGAAACAAATTCTCATAGTGATCATGTCCAAAAATTATGTCCCTCTTTGTTTTTTAAGTTCATCACCTCTTTGGTAGGAGGGAAGCGATGTGTTTTATCTTTAGTCCTCTGGACTCATGTTTTATCATTAGATTGATCAGAGTTCTAAAATCTTTCAAAGTTGCTTTTCTCTATGATATTATTGTCATTTTTATAAATTGTTCTTTTAATTCTACTCATTTCACTTTGAATTAGTTCATAGAGGTCCTCCTAATTTTATCGCTCTTATGGCACAATACTATTCCATTGCATTCATCTACCATAATTTTTTTAGCCATTTCCCCATAGAAAGATAACCATTGAGTTTCTGATTTTTGACTACTACAGAAAGAGCTGCTATAAATATTTTTGCATAAATTTGTCCTTTCCCTCTGTCTTTGATGTCTTTCAGATGTACTCCAGGTAGGGTTATAGCTGAGTCAAAGGCTATGCTCAGTTTAGTAACTTTTGGGTCATCATTCCAAATTGCTTGTGGAGTGCATTCTGAAGAAAAGTGATTGAGGACTTTAGCTCTTATTTAAACCCGAGAAAGGAGAAAATCCTAGGAAACCAAAATCACCAGGGAAAACAAAATGATAAAACTCGAGAAATTCCCAGCCCACTGATATGAGATCTGAAGAGTTTGAGGAGAAACTTGATAGAAGCTTATCTTCCTGGTGTGGTTTAGGCTGGGCTCTGTCTAAGAAGAATCTCTGATTCCTTCCATAAGTAGGAAGAAACCTCCCTGTACGGACTCTATCTTTGCAATAGCTCTCTTGGGAGAAACAGCAGCAACAAGTAATGTTTATTGCTGACACCGCTCCCTGAGAGCCAGAGAAAATTACACAGAAGCTATGTTTATGTCTGTGTGCAATCTTCATCATTGGTGCTCTACTCCCTGAGGCTCAAGGAAGAGAGAGGAGGAGGGATGCTGTAGCAATAACTCTGGGAACAATTCATTGAGAAGGTTTCTGATATGTGCAGAAGAAATTGTTTTCTCTATGGGGTTATTAAAGCAGAGGGCACAGCATAGCTCATCCTACTATTTATTCCCTTTTCTCTGTAAGCCCTCAACTATATCCTCATCCCACCACTGATGAGGATGGCTGAGCCTCGTATTCCAATAAAGATTGAAGTTATTGGATAGGAGCTCACTCAACTTCCCTCCTACACTCCTCCAAACTTTTCGTTAGCATTTTCCATCACTCCTGCCTTGGAGGAAGAGTTATCTCCAATGCCCACAAATGAGAATGCCCTGACCCGTGTCCTTGATCCCATCCCTTCCTGCCTCCTTCCTCCAGAACTTCACTCTAGCAGTCATTCCCTCCTTCCTGGGTGTCTTCAGTCTTTCTCTCTTCCTACTTCCTTCTATCTGCCAATAAATATGCTTATGTCTCCCCAGTCCCAAAAAAGCCTGACCTCGATCTTTTTATTAGCCCATCCAGCTACAATTCCATCTCCTTCATCCCCCTCACAGTCATACTTCTTGAAAATGAGGAGGAAATTTATAACAAACATAAAGAATCACAGATGGAAATGCAAAGAGGCAAAAGATGGCATGTACCTTTGTCGTTCAGTCATTTCAGTCATGTCTGACTCCTTGTGACCCCATTTGGGGCTTTCTTGGCAAAGATACTGGCTTGCCATTTCCTTCTCCAGCTCCTTTTACACATGAGGAAACTGAGGCAAACATGATTAAGTGACTGGCTGAGAGTCACACAGCTAGTAAGTGTCTGAGGTCAGATTTGAACTTGCAAAGATGAGTCTTCCTGATTCCAGACCTGATGCTCTATCCACTGCTCCACCTAGTGGCCAATGTGTATCTATCATGTATTTATTCTCTTTATGTTTATTCTGTATCTACATGTATACATGCGTATATGTATGTATTTATAAGCACATATGTGTATGCATGTCCCTATCTACTTATGTGCACCTATCTGTCTATCTACGTGCTCTCTTCTCCCCAATGAGTTTCTTGAGAGTAGGGATATTTACAAGGCAAAAAGGGAGGAACCGGCTCCTGAAGAGCGATACTACTAAACAGGGATGGCAGCCATAGGAGGAGGAAAGACACTGATGGGAAACAAGGTAGAGGAGACCCCCTCACCCCTGTTCTCAGCTCCATAGGCAGGCTAATCAGACATTCAGAAACACAAGCAGCACGCTCCTGTCCCAGGCCCCGAGGCACTCAGGCCCACATGCACATAAGGTTGTAGACAAAGAGCTACTTCCCCATCACTTGTGGGCTGAGACAGTGGCTCTAGGCCGGAGGTGTCAAGCACAAGACTGTTAGGGACTCAGGCAGACACAACGCTCTGGAGTTAGACTGAACCAGATTAAAATGCAACAAAATAAATAACAATGCAATATAACAAAATACATTTTTAAAAAGCCCAGTAAAACACAGATAGTATTACATTTTAAAACTAAGCCAACATGTGTCAGGCTGGGATCCTTATGTACATGTCAATGGGCCTCCCTTTTCTCCTTGAGTTTGATACCACCGACGTGAAAAGAAGGTTATTTTCTAAGTTGCTTAATAGGGAATGAGGAATGATGGGGAGAGCCCCAGGAAGCTGAACTCTTAACTATACCACAGCAAGCAAACAGCCAGGGAAGGGAGGCTGTCTCAAAGTCTGGCATGCATATGCATCCTGGAGGCTGGGGCCATACGAAACCAACTGGTTTTCACCAGCTCACTGAATTGTTTCTTTCTTTGCATTTGCGTAGCCATAATAGGCACTTAATAAACTCTTGTAGGAAACAGCTGGTAGTTGGGTTGGAGTGGAATAAGTGATATGGGAAGGTAGGAAATAAGCATTTATTAAGCTCCTACTGTGTGACAGCTGTGCTGAGAGCTTTACAAATATCTCATTTGATCTTCATAACAACCTTAGGAGGTAGGTGTTATTATTATTCCCATTTTCTACTTGAGGAAACTGAGGCAAGCAGAGGTGAATTGACTTGCCCAAGGTCACATAGTTAAGTGTCTAAGGCTGGATTTGAACACAGGTCTTCCTGACACCAGGACTGGTCCCATATTCTCTAGCTGAATGAAGAACAATTTGAAATAAGGCAAGAAAGGCCATTAGGAGCCAAATTGTGGGGACATTAAGAGCCAGATTAAGATGTTTCTTTTTGATCCTAAATTCGATAGAGGGCCATTGAAGATTCTTGAACAGGAAAATGGCATGGACAGACCTGTGCATTAGAGATTTTGGCAGCTGGGAGAAGAATGTAGAGAGAGAGACTAGAGAGTGGAAAAGAGGAAATTATTTCAAAAATCCAAGAAGATGTGGCATGGAGAGCTGAGAGAGGGAGAAGCATATTAAGCCACTCTCCTGCATGTAAGACTCACTCCAGAAAACTGGGCTACATCTCTCAAACATCCCTCAAACCCACCCTGTGCTTTCTCACTTCTAGGCTTCTGCTCATATCTGGAATCCCTGCCTGTTGAATTCCTACTTCTGGTTTATTTTCAACAAAATTTGTCTTATTTTTATAGATACCTTTTGTTTTTAGATCACATTAATTTCTAAACAGATCACTTCTCCTCCTACTCCTCTATGACCCTTCCTTTGTAGCAAAGAATTTAAAAGAAAAGGAGGAAAAAAGCAGTTCTGAAGAACTAACCAACCCATAAAACCATCTAGTCTGGACCCCCCCACCCCCACCATTTTAGAGATGAAGAAACTGACACCCAGGGTTGTGACTTGCCCAAGGTTACATAGTTAATAAGTTCCAGAAGCAGAATTTGAATCCAGATCTTCTGATTTGTTTACTAGTGAGTATAATATTCCAAATCCATAGTCCCCTACTTCTGCCATGAAGATTTTCTTAATTGGTTGCCAGGGCCAAGCTTGGTTATTATAGTCATGCAGCTTTCAGTTTGGCTTTTGCTCTTTCTGTTTGCATTGTAGTCATTGAGTATGTTCTTTTCCTGGTTTTGCTTTTTTCACTCTACATCAGTTCATATAAACCTTCCCCATGTTTCTCTGAATTTTTCATGTTTGTAATTTCTTATGGCACAACAATGCTCCATTACATTCA